TTAAGGATTCGCTTTATTTCGTCGGATGTTTCTTTGCGGTAAGGAATCACCGCTGTACTAACCCAATTCTTAGCAACAGGTTTTGATTCATCCTTATCTTCACATTTTAAATATCTATTTATGAAGGATTTTGGATAATTATTTGATTCAAAAGTGGATTGAACCAATTTTAATTTCTTGCTAATATCTTCCTCCTCAGTAACTAGACGTTTGGCTCTGTTGATCAGATTCTTGGCCACAGTTACTTTGGTGGTAAACGGATGAGCTGAATGGTAATCTAGGTATCTGTCCGAATTTGTCGGCTTTCTAAAAATGTTTATTTTAAATTTTCCATCTAATTTTCTTTTTACTAAACAGTCCAGGAACGCCAATTCATTCTCGTCGGATTCAACCTCCTTGGAGAACTTGATAGTTTCTGATATATTATTTATTAAGTGAAACAGTTCATCTAATTAATTAATCATTTCAATTTCGCTGAGATTTTACAAATATAATTTTATAAATAATATATTTATTTCGTTGTAATTAAGACTGTCAGAAGTAATTCCTCATATTTTACTTTACTTTTCTTTTTTTAAAGTCCTAAACCAAAATTACCAAAACTTGATCTTCCTATCACTACCAATAATGTTGTCTATTCACAGAATCCAGAACTCAATGAAAAATTATCTGTGATAGCACATTTAGAAGAAGCAACAGAAAAATCTATTGAAGATGCAGCATTGTTCAATCCAGTAGAAAAAGTTATTCATCCTGGAAGTTGTCTTGGTGGAGGCGGCAGCAGTTCTAAGAAAAGTGAAGACGACAATTGTTGTAAAGTTGAACAGTCAAGCAGTAGTAATCCTGCTCGTATTGTATTTAGACGACGTCCGCCTGGCAGTAATCGATCTATACGTGCACCACAAAGCGATGATTAGTGATGATGTTGTTTCGTGTAAATTAATTATTTGAAATAAACGCATCTGTTGTACATATTAAAATGTATTAATAATAAAAATAATAATAATGACAGAATTATAATTCATGCGTCAAAAGAGCCTAATAAACCGCGTTTTCTTAATCATATTGTAATGACAGAAGACAAAGGTCAGGCAATAGATCGTTTATTCAGAAAATCAACAGATATTTATAGATTTTTATGTACATTATTATCAGCGTTATTGTTAGCAGAGAGGCAACGTCTTCTGATTGGTTGTTTTCTTGCTCAAGGTTATTCTGTCATCTCTTTGCGACCGTTTCTTTCAAGGCCAGACCATATATCTGCAAATTGTATCCACCCACGCTAAGTCTGCTGTGATTGGTTGCTGAGTTAGTCTTTGTTCTCGTTTTTTCTCATGACCAAGATATGCGACGTAAACATTAACGTAAATTGCTGTCTACTAATTTTGGCTAGCAGACAGCTCTCACCACAATAGTGGTGTATTCTATTGAGTCTTTTCAATTTCTTTGTGTTCTAAGTGGAATATAAGATTTCAAGCTTTCAGAGTTTCAGTAGTACTTGTGTTATTTTCATGGGGTGCTGGGGTTGATAGCCTCACACATAACGTCTTTCCTCTTTTCCGGGCTCACTGTAAGTTAAGTGAAGTGTAGGAGTATATCAGACAAGAATTGAATCCCGGAACACGTCGGTGAGCATTTC